CCCGCCTCCTGTCCGGCCTGGGTTCTCTCCCTTATGTCCCTGCCTCCTGTCCAGCCTGGTTGCTCTCCCTTATGTCCCCGCCTCCTGTCCGGCCTGGGTTCTCTCCCTTATGTCCCTGCCTCCTGTCCAGCCTGGTTGCTCTCCCTTATGTCCCCGCCTCCTGTCCAGCCTGGGCCCTACTCCTGATGCTACATGACACTAATTGCTCAGGTGATTCTTGAAAAACGACTGAATGGATGAAGGGGAGGATGGATGGAGCCATGAACACGCTCTGCATTGCCAGCCGCAATGTCTGAGGTTGACTTTGTTTGTCAAGTCAGTTCATGAGTCATTTAACTGCTCTCGGGGAAGAGAAACTGGTGCTTAAGTGTTTTTCTGGGGCTCCTGTCTTAGAGACGTGTGCTACCTACTGCACGTGTTAGTGAATAATGTAATAGAGGCTATTTTTGTCTTCCCAGAGGACAGTGCAAATTGATGATTTTACCATCCCTTGATGGTGAAATCTACCTCATAGTAATATTTTATTGCTGAATTTTTCCCTCGATGTTGACATGCATTATGCTGTTGGAATGAGTCTCTGAGAGCGTTTTCTGTAAATGTTTAAAAAGTATGAACTCTTTCCTTCAGGGAAAACGCCCATAAGCTTATCTTAATAAAGCCAGGACTACGTCACATTGAGTAACAGCTGACTCATTATATAAAAATCTAATTGCTTTCACAGGTGTTGAATACAGAAATTTCTCCCTCATATGTTCCACATATATTACAAAATGATATAAAGATATTGAAGCGAAGATTTTAAACTCATTACACATTAAAAAGAAGTGTGCTGAGTTAATTGTTATAAGCAGCTCTGATACTATTCGTTAACGACACCCGTCTCCACCCCCGTCTACTTGTCTGATGGTTCTGTCCAGGAAGGGGGTCGACAGCCTGCCTACAGGGATAGGAGTGATTGCTACAGATGACTCCCACCCACAAAAGCAATGTCGTTTGCTGGCACATACTGGTGTTCTGGAGTGCACTGATTAAGATCACGCCACAAAATGCAGGGAGCTTTCCATTGGACAGTAAACTCCAGAACATTCTACGGGCAGCCAGTGAAACCCCAGCTTGTGATCCATTTGCAGGTTTCAGGCTTGGCATATGTTAACATTTCTATGGCTGAAGTAAAGCATCACAGTGAGTTTAGCTCATTATATTGGAGCTTCCTAACAAGCAAACTGGGATATTACATAATGTTGCTGTTTATGCTTTGTGTATAGTGAGATGCATTTATCACAAAGAATCATACAGCAAAGGAATGAGTTACCAGTCTGTGCCAGGCAGCATTAAGCCACACAGAACAGTGAGGGCTCAAATGCTCCTCTGTACTCAGCTTAACATCATTTTGTTACAAAATAATAATGGTAATAATGTTGTGTTGCTAGCAAGATTCACCCAGCCTGTGTTGCCCTTGAGGAGTAGTGTGTGAATCACCGTGGAGATGGTCCCTGGGTCAGTCTTAAATGCAACATAACTGCTTGGTTTGAGGCTTGTTAAATTGCTGTAGATGTCGTGCCACAGCACCACCAGGTATACGGCCAGGGAGCAAAGGCGTCATAATCACTGGCAGTAACTGGAAACACACTGTGGTGCAATAGGTGTGTTAATGTTGGTTCATGTAAAGAGAATGAATATATTTTCAGAATGGACGCTAAAGTGTGTGTGTGTGAAATACATGCTATAATTCATACCATAACTGCCATTTTTAAGAGATGATGTTTATTATTATATATTAATGGTTTAGTAGTATCTACAAACTTACTGTAATATTTTAACTTATGCACTTGCTAATTAACTCCCCATCCACCTTCCATACTCTAGGTCTTCTTACTCCATACTCAGAGTCAGAGAGTGTGAGTGGCACGCCCGATGAGTGAGAGAGTCAGAGAGCATGAGTGGCACGCCCGATGAGTGAGAGAGTCAGAGAGCATGAGTGGCACGCCCGATGAGTGAAAGAGTCAGAGAGCATGAGTGGCACGCCCGATGAGTGAGAGAGTCAGAGAGCATGAGTGGCACGCCCGATGAGTGAGAGAGTCAGAGAGCATGAGTGGCACGCCCGATGATTGAAAGAGTCAGAGAGCGTGAGTGGCACGCCCGATGATTGAAAGAGTCAGAGAGCGTGAGTGGCACGCCCGATGATTGAAAGAGTCAGAGAGCGTGAGTGGCACGCCCGATGATTGAAAGAGTCAGAGAGCGTGAGTGGCACGCCCGATGATTGAAAGAGTCAGAGAGCGTGAGTGGCACGCCCGATGATTGAAAGAGTCAGAGAGCGTGAGTGACACACCTGATAAGTGAGAGAGTCAGAGAGCGTGAATGGCATGCCCGATGATTGAAAGAGTCAGAGAGCGTGAGTGGCACGCCCGATGATTGAAAGAGTCAGAGAGCGTGAGTGACACGCCTGATAAGTGAGAGAGTCAGAGAGCGTGAGTGGCACGCCTAATAAATGAGAGAGTCAGAGAGCGTGAGTGACACGCCTGATAAGTGAGAGAGTCAGAGAGCGTGAGTGGCACGCCCGATGACTGAAAGAGTCAGAGAGCGTGAATGGCATGCCCGATGATTGAAAGAGTCAGAGAGCATGAGTGACACGCCCGATGATTGAAAGAGTCAGAGAGCGTGAGTGGCACGCCCGATGACTGAAAGAGTCAGAGAGCGTGAGTGGCACACCTAAGTGAGAGAGTGAGAGAGTCATAGATAAGTGAGAGAGTCAGAGAGCGTGAATGGCACAGCTGATGACTGAGAGTTGGCAACCCCGGGTGCAGGTCATTAACAACTCAAACACAAAGGCTACGAATCACTATGTTCAGGTGTTCATAATCACGAAGGACTCTAGCAAAGGGGTGACCAGCGACACTAAATGACCAAATGTTTCTTCTCTTTAATTGTACCAAATAAGTGGTAACACTTTGACATAAACTAAAAAAAAACATAATCTAAGAAAAATGCAATCATGGAGAACGGACATGTCTCACAACCACACTATGTGACCAAAAGCTTGCTAATCCTAGAAAGTACAATGCTGTTGTACCTTTCAATCAGATCAAGTTCGTATATCGCAGTCAGACATTGTGTCAAAATGTAAAGCAGGTTGAACTGCACAAATGTCTCTCTTCCCTGCAGAGTGACGGCTCCAGTGACAGTGAGAGTGAAGACAACTTTGTTGTGGCGCCCCCTAGAGATCACCTGGGCCTGGCCATCTTCTCCATGCTCTGCTGCTTCTGGCCTCTGGGCATCGCAGCCTTCTACTTCTCGCAGGGGGTGAGTTCTTTCGCAGCACTCCCATAGGGAGCGTGGGCGTCGCCGCCTTCCAGGGGGTGCGTGGGCGTCTCCGTCTTCCAGGGGGTGCGTGGGCGTCGCCGCCTTCCGGGGGGCGCGTGGGCGTCTCAGTCTTCCAGGGGGTGCGTGGGCGTCTCCGTCTTCCGGGGGGCGCGTGGGCGTCTCAGTCTTCCAGGGGCGTCTCCGCCTTCCGGGGGGCGCGTGGGCGTCTCAGTCTTCCGGGGGCGTCTCCGTCTTCCGGGGCACGCGCGGGCGTCTCCACCTTCCGGGGGCGTCTCCGCCTTCCGGGGGGCGCGTGGGCGTCTCAGTCTTCCAGGGGCGTCTCCGCCTTCCGGGGGGACGCGCGGCCGTCTCCGCCTTCCGGGGGACGCGCGGGCGTCGCCGCCTTCTACTTCTCAGAGGGGCGTGAGGCCCTTATCCAGCACTCCCAGGGGGTCCAAGGGCGATGCTGTTATCAAGTAACTTGTATGAAGTAATCTTGTCTTGTACACATATTGAATAAGAGCAATTACTTATATAATGATTGACACCTCAAGCATGTTCTTTGCTATTTCCTGTAGGTTTTCTTCAGTCCAATTTTAATACTTTGCTTCTTTGGTTATTATGAAAGAAATTATGTTAGTGTTGGGTGAATGCAGGACACATTATGAATAATTTAAAAGAGAAACAACAGGGTGAATGATGCAAATTACTGCTAAAAACAGGAGAGAGACTGTTGTTTGTCTGTTTTCCATTTAATTTTTACTGGGAAAGTGTGAACTCAAAACAAGCTCCTTAAAGAATAAGTTACAGTAGATGTTTGCATTTTGCATTAATATTACATTCTTTGTAATGATCATTAAATTGTTTCATATATGACAGCTTGTGAATATCAAGAGATTAGACTTTCATTGACACTGATAGCTAGACAACAAATTTTGGGCATTTTTTTGGGCATTTTTGGGCACTTAATATCAATGTCCACGATTCCCACACATGGTTACAAATGCTACTGTCTTTGTTCAGCCATGAAAATGTCTCATTTCCAAATCCTGTTGCATTAAACAAACCCTGTTTTCTGTCACCAGCAAGTTCATCGTGATGAGCTGGAAGGTTCCACGCAGGCATAGGGTATAAGGCAGGATCAGCCTGAATCAGAGGAGCACACACTGACTGCTGCCACAGACTGTGCACTTTTACACAAACATCCCAGTTGACACGGAACATTCTGGGAACCAGAAACTGTTAGCAGGGATGGTGATTGTTAGGGAAGCTGAGGGGGCAGCACTGATTCTGCCCCCCCACCCCACCACAGTTGTGTATGCCGTATGAGTTCCCTCCTGCAGTCTAAAGACGTGCAGTTTAGCTGTCTGAAATTTCTGTAAGACCCTTAGTGTGTCTGAGTGTGCATGTGCAGCATGTGCTCTGTGATGGACTGGTATCCTGTCCAGGGTGTAGCCCAGCCCTCTGGGCTCCAGGCGACACTGACCAGGGTGAGCAGTTAGATGATAGGCTGTTGGACATTATTAATAGAACAAAACATTTATGTAAGCCAGAAGCATGCCGATATGGCCAGATAACACGTGCATCACCATCACTAAGCAACAAGGATTGGCATTTTTACAGATGGAAAGTTAAGGCACTATAATTAAAAGAACAGATAGCCTTCTTCACTGATGGCTGCTGTGCATGATGTATTACACATGCACGGGAATAGCTGGGTGTAAAAATACCCAGATCTGTGCTTGCCATTTTGGGGGGGAAGTCAATTTAACATTCAGAAAAATGACAGTGAATGACCTGGCCCACAGCAGATAGGGAGGAATCATATCCACATTACATGCAGAGAAATAAGACAAGACCATCCAGCTTCATTCAGCTGTGAAAGTCAGGTGGATCCTTGAGCTTCACAGAGTGTTGATGCATGCATGATACTGTCGTGCTGCTTCACCAGCCTAATCAGAACATTCATCGGGGTAGGGTTGGACTTTTATGCTAATGCTGATGAAAAGGTTGGGCTTTATATGCTGAACCTCCCTAAAGCGCTCCAGGCATCTTAATTCTCCTACGTGTGATTCATACTGCCTAATAAATGCAGTCTTCCAGCATACTGCTGTTAGTATGCTTTTATACTGCCCCAGGTTAAAGTGAAATTTAATTTCAAACTGTGTCTTCCATTATTCATCTAGATAGAGTATGTCTTTAGTAATAATTAAGTCACCAGTTAAAAGCATTTCTGGAAGAAAATGAGCCTGAGAGCAGCGGTATTCCATTAAAATACCATTTGGCATAGCAAGCTAACTCTTTATCTGATACCATTGACTGCTAACATAGCAGGCTAACTACACCTGAAACAGATGACTGCTAACATGGCATGCTAACTCTGCACCTGATACCGTTGACTGCTAACATAGCAGTGTAACTCTGCACCTGATACCGTTGACTGCTAACATAGCAGAGTAACTCTGCACCTGATACCGTTGACTGCTAACATAGCAGAGTAACTCTGCACCTGATACCGTTGACTGCTAACATAGCAGAGTAACTCTGCACCTGATACCGTTGACTGCTAACATAGCAGAGTAACTCTACACCTGATATAAAGGACTTAGGATTACAATGCACCAACAGCACTGTAGTTACAGCAAGTGCTGGTAATTTGTTCCTTCTAGACATATATGACAGAGAAATATGTAGATGCAAGGCCTATAAAACAATGGTGTCTCACCGCAACCTAATTTTTACCATGCTAGCTCAGTCACGACCCTATATCAAGTATAGTTGTAAGCGAATGCTATGATCAAGCACGCAGGGCACTCTTCAATTTGTGCCCCTAACCCTATCACACAAATCTGATTGGATGTGCCAATGAATTTTAAATTAAGCATCTGTGGTTTAGATTCTTGGATTGGTTGAGTGTTCACTTGTTTTGCACTAAGCGTTTGCAGACCCAAGACCCATTTATACAGGTTAATTCTAGCATTGGGACTGGGAAATCTGATCGTGGATCAGTATAGGGGTTTGCTGGTTTTAAAATGCTTACATTTCCAACTCTGCCTCATGACCCTTTTAGAACTTGCCACGACCCAAATTTGGGTCGTGACCCATGGGTTGAGTGTCACTGCTGTAGGAGATAGCAGGACGATGGCAGCAGATACCTTTAAGATGGGTTTTTCTGCAGTGTGTTATGGCTATAGTTAGAACTTTGCTCTCATCATTTTCTGTTTTCTTCCTTTACAGACTAGCAAGGCCGTCACAAAGGGAGACTTTCCGCTGGCAAGCACAGCATCCCGAAGGGCCCTTTTCCTAGCTGCCCTCTCCATCACCGTTGGCACCGGAGTGTATGTAGGGGTGGTGGTGGCCCTCATCGCCTACCTATCCAAACCTGGGCCTGTATAGCAACCAGGTGCCTCGGAGGGGACGTCACGTCTCATCCCAGACATAGAGCACTTTCACTCCATCATGATTGTATTTTTCACTCGTGCCTCCCTGTCGGTTAACTTGGAGGAAAAGCAGGCAAACGTATCATATCACTATGTGTGGAAAAGAGGGTGACATTTTGGAATACTGACAGCTGAAGAGTCCATATTAACCTTGAAGGAACCGCACTGTAGCTTGCCTCTTGATGAGTGGAATTTCATATGAATGAAATGAGTATCGTGGAATAAAAGGAAAAGGGGCTGAGGAAATGGCTAATTAGCGGCCTTATCTCCCTACAGACTCAACAGGAGACCTGCAGCAAGATTTAATGAGAACGCAATCTGCCAGGTTCTGTTCTGTGAGGAGCCTGAATGTAATATCGGCTGCACTGGTAAACTGCATAATCTGTATAAAATGTCAAAGGTGTCATTGTCTGAGTTGTTTTTTTTTCTTTTGGAAATATCATGTATTTGTTTATATCTGGAAGTAAAACAAATTCTTATTCAGTTACAGATTACTAATATATATTCATATATTGTGAAATTGTGGAAAAACTCTCACCTTGGACAGATAATACTAAGATGAATAAGTCACTTGTTGTGTAATTGAAATAACCATTAAATAAAGTTGCTATAAATTAAATTGCTGGCTTATTGAGGCCTAGAATCGATAACTCTGTTTCTTGGGTACAGGTGCACAGTGATGTGAAACTAAATCTGCAACAAGGCATCAAATAATTGGTCTCCACCCCATTGTTCTGTCACTGTTTGGGTCTTCACCTTTAAATCACCTTTGATTTTATACACCGGTGGCAATGGGTCTGAATGAAACACCTGAATTCAGTGATTAAGAGGTGTGTCCCAATACTTTTGTCCATGTAGTGTATATCCTATTAATATTTGTATACAAATTACCAACACTGTAATTATATACAATGGTACCTCAGTTCTCGAACTCATTAGAACTCAAATTTCTTAAAAGTCGAACCAACCAGTTCGAAAAAAAAAAAAAGACCTAGAACTCGATCTGAATCTTAGAAGTCGAACCGTGAACGCTGACCTAAGATAACTTGTATGCGCAGGGAAATGAGTCACGCGGCACATCTCTCAGCGGAAACAAAAGGTAACGCTTCAGTCTCAGCCTCGCATTCGCTGTGAGAGCATCGTGCATGTTTACACTAGCTGAATACATATATTTATACAGTAAAAATACATTTAGACAATGATAGACAATAACAATAATTATTATATAATAAAATACATTTAAAAATAAAGATTTCTTATTAATTATTTTAATATCATTAATAATAAACAATTAATACATTTAATTATAATAATATTGTCATGCCGAGTAGGGACGGAACAGAGACAAAGGCGCAGACGTCAGGGTATTGGGGAATATGGGGTTTAATTACAGGTAAGGCAGGCAAAACGCAGACAGACAATACAATGACCGGACTGGGGAAACAAACTGAAACGTGGACTAAATACAGAGGACTAATAACAACAACCAGAAACAGCTGATCACACGGGGATTCCACACGAGGTTAATGAGGGGGAGTGGCATTCAGAAGGAGCGGACGATCGGGGCAGGACACATTGGTATTTTTTTTTACTTTACATATTGTTTGGATACATTTATTTTCTTACTTTACAAATTACTGTTTTGATAAATGTGCTTAGATGTGTTTAGTGCAGTATATGCTCTTCTTGTTTTATCCTGTCCATTTTGTGCTTTAGTGCTGGAAAAAAAACATATTTAGGTGTAATATTTCTCAGATATATATTAATGCATGGGTCTGAACGATAAATACATAAGCATAGAAAAAGCTCTAAATGACTAGTTTTGCTTTAGGCTTTCATGGTCAAAGTGATGTGGATCCAGGAGGAATTTTGAGGTTCCAGTTGTGTGCAGTGGACTGTTACAAGCAACATTTTCCAGTTGTGTGCAGTGGACTGTTACAAGCAACATTTTATATTTATCTGATAGCTTTATGTGAGGCTGTACATTAGTTCTAACTGACATTTAGTGCTTAGTGCTTTAGTTTTGCATAATGACTTTTTAAATCCTCTCATGTGCTCTGTAGAGCATAGCCTGTAACAATACAGTAGGACAAATGTACCAATTAATTCTCCTCTTTACTCCTGCTAGTCAGGCCAAGTAAATATATTTTCATCTCCAAGTCAAAATGATTTCACGACACAATAATGAGTTTGAGAAACCTACATTGCCTGGAATTGTTAGTTACAAGAATGGAACCTTCATTTGAAGGAAGTAATAGTTTTAGTTTTCAGTGACCTTCTGTGACTACAAAACAAGTATCTTAATCAACATAGCTGAATGAAACACTGAGCTCCACTTCAAGCATCATCTGCCAGAGTGCCTCAGCTCGTTGGCAATGGTTTTCACACAAAAAAGAAAAGGAAACACCTCTTTTTCCACATACCATTTTTTCACACTCTAGATAACACCTATGGTTTTCAACCATTACATTCCAGGATTCCATCTAAGGGCACAAAAGGCAGAGGTTCTGGGCAGCTATGAATTATTTCAAGACAGACATGACACAATCTACATAGACCAGGAGCTTTGAATTATGTTGTGGCATTGAATGTCATGTGAATTTATGTCACTGATGTCTCTACTGATGTTCAAACCAAACTTACACCCTTGCCAGGGACACTACAAGTCTCATGAATTTTTCAGAGAATAGATTTAACAAATATTAAGACAATATATAAATCATAAGGATATACAACATACAATGAGTATGAGTTAGAGTTAGAGAATACAGTACACTGCACACTATACACTACAGTATACTATACTATACAATCCAATAGTACGCACAGCAAATGTACAATACAGTACAACACTGCACTGATCACAGAACCTTCACAGTGCCATCCTTGCTGATAAGCTCTCCTAGCGTGCAGAACCCAGGCTGCAGAACCCCAAACGTTAAACCTATACTGGTGTGTTTCCAAGCTGGAACAGTGAGGACAAAGTGTATTGGATTCTTCTTTGTCTTTTTAAAAACTGAGTATCTCTCGTATAATATGTGTCCTGCGCTTTGCTATGACTCAAACAGCTCGGCTAGAACCCAAGGCTTGCGTTGCCATGTGAGAAAACTGTCCTGTGACCTTCTGCTAAGGGAGACTGTGCAGGATTAGCATGGCTGATGAATTTCTTGTATGACGCAGCTTGCATTGGACACATGAGTGCAGAAGCAATTTGTCTGGTGTTTCACAGCTTTTTCTTCTTTTAACAATTTCTTAATGTAATATTTACAAATCATCAGAAAAAGGCACGTGAAATTATTTAATTACATTTTAAAAATATGATTATTATCAAGATTGTTTTACCTACTAAGGATTAACGTATGTATATTTTTTCTTCAACCAAATGTATATCCATTAAAACATTTAATGAGGCATACACTGTATTTTTAACTGTCAAAAATATCAGACTGAAAAGTATAACTACTGAGAATAATTAATTTGATTACTCTTATTTTCAAAATGCTTTCATGGACTATGACCCTGCCGAAAAATCCAACACAAAATATAGATGTGTCATAATAAATTTGAGGCTTCAAAAGCTTCCACAGAGAGGAAAAACATCCGTGAAACTGGGTCTGCCTCCCACCACTCTGGTTGGGCACAATAGAGTAAATTATCTGCAGCACATCCTCCCCCTCAGACACAAAAAAAGAATAAATAAAAAGATGAGAGTTACTGTGGCAACGGGCTGTGGAATCCCGGCCCAGCGGGGTCACCTAATGAGCAACAATGAAAGCTTAGGTACATTAGGGAACGATGGTCACTTTAGAAGGCTGAAAGCTCCAGGATCGCTAAACGGTTTTTAAAAAATTATTTTTGGAGGGGCTGAGTTGAAAAAGGATGAAAAATGTTAATCTTGCTTATCTACAAATTTTACTTGGATTGATGAATATATTCTGCTGATTAGAAACTACATACATTCTATTACAGTTTAACTATTACAAGAAATAATGGTGCTGTGCTGGCTTTATGCGCCAAAGTGGGTGTGTGTGTGTGTGTGTGTGGTGGGGGGGGTGTTCTGCAGAGTATTCAAGCAAGGGGGGGTGCATGCTTTGCTGCCATGAATTAGCAAATGAATCACCACAGCTACTCCTCTGCAGACAGCAGGTCGCAGGCCAGGCCAACGACACCAAGGCCACATGCAACTCTGTGCACAGAAAGCAATGACATCCATCCTGGGGAGGATGTCATAGGCTGGGGAAGCGGGGTGGCCTTTTTGGCTGAGCCACCTTTGCACAGGCCAGGTTCAAGGCCAGCAGAATCCTGAGGGATCTGCAGGGTGCAACCTCAAAACCCCAGTGAACAACGGTGGCTGCCCTTTGTCAGCTAATGACAGCTCCACCTACAGTAGCAACCATCTATTCTTCAAAGACTCATTTATCCTAACCATTTCTCGTAATGTCTCAATAGGATGGTTTAAAAAAATAATAATACAGTGGAAACTGCTTAAAGTGATCACGGTTATAATGATCAACCAATTATATAGATCAAAAATCTTAGGACAGAATCAATCCTGTTCAAATACTGTTTAAAATATTTGCTTATAGTAATCAAGTAGTATGCTTATGGTGTTCATTTTGGGTTTTGTTATACTGTACATGGCAGCATATGGAGAAAAGTAAAACAACAGCAATTCAGTTTTTTTTTTAACTTTACTTCAGTAGCCCTATTTTGTTTTGCTTCTGGCTAGCTTCCTGAGCCTAATGCTGTGTGAACAGAAAACATGACAGGAAAAAAGTCATTTTCTCTCAATGACAAATACAGAATCATCAAAACTTGTGATTGCCAAAAACGAGCTAAGATGTAGCAACAAAGCTACAATAAGCTGTATTTTATGTACAGTACTATACTGCTTTATGCAGTTCAGTAATTTAATTTGTAATTTGAAAAGTGTTTGAAACAGTTGTACTGTATTTTTAAAGAATGCCTCCTTTGTTTTTGGAACATGATACATCTACTGTCAAGAAGGTAAATTATATAATTGTTTTGCTGAGTTAAATGACTTTCCTGTGTTGTGTGTTTGCACTGAATTTCTTTTGAATTAAATTCTTGTTACTGTCATTCCAATTCAAATTGTCACGCCCACGCCCACAACTGGGAACAATCAGGGTTTCACTCGAGGTAACGAGGGGGTGTGGCACATGGAAGGATCGTAGGAGCAGGTCACTCCGGGCGCGCCTCAAGGGAGGCAAAGTACGAGATGGGACCGAGGACACGGGACCTGGAAGACAAAAGCAAGGAGCATCAACGAGGGACTGGGAACAGGATGGACACACAAAACAAGTACAAGGGCAAGAACCAGGATAGAACCTGACACAGAACGGGAAACACGAACAGACAAACCAGAAAAGAAGACACCGTGGAAACACCAACAGGTGGAACGAAAGGGTCAGGAGTGAACAAGAGAGACATTGAGGGATGAGGAGCAGAGACAGGAGGGACAAAACCAGGGGCCAGAAAGGGAAAGGATAGGTGGGAACCTCAGCAGGCGAGGAGTGGCAGTCGGAGGGGCCACAGGCGACCATGAGGCCGGAGCTGAGGGAGACCTCGCAGTGGGAGAGGAGGCAGGCGGAGGGACAG